ACATGTGAGCATGTTATTGGCTGACCACTAGACTTGCTGAATTCTTGTGTTTTTGCTGAGAGATTGATATGGCAGGTTAAATTCTGTGTACATATGATTCTCCTGGGGAGCAATATAATTAAAATATGTCCTGGAAAGAAAAGGCCTCTATATCAATCATTACCATTAGTGGGAAAATAAGTTAATGGATAGTTTTCTAAACATATTTACTTGGAAGTAGTTGCAATACTTCAATTATTAAAAAAAGAGGAAGGATAATTAGGAGATAATAAAAATGTTACATTAGTATGGAAGCTTGTTTGTCCCATGTTAGATACTGCAAGAAGTTCTGACTACCCTGTCTCAGAAACAGACTGGTGCAATTTTGCTTCTTCCCCATTCCCCTTTATATTAAGTCTGTCTTCTATGCAAAGACAGACTAAGTAAAGATGCTTCATTTTAGAAAAGAAACTAATATGAACAGATCTGATAAAGGCATACAAAATCCATAGGTTGCAAGAGAAAGTTTGGCAGAGATGATCAGTTCATATCTCTTACAGAACAAGAATTAAAGTACAAGAAGCTTCAAAGCAAAGGGGAGGTTATTTTTTTGTGGTGCTGGTGCCTGCGCATGCTCTGTAACTGAGAACTGTAAAATGCAGTGAAGCCCAAGTAATATTGATGGAACTGAACGTTCTCGAAGAATTATTAGATGCAACTTTCTGCTTAGAAGGTTTCTAAGCTGGTTATTGCTGGATTTTAGGAGGAGATAGGCAAGAAAAAAGCACTGCAGGATGCTACTAGCAGCATTTCAAATATTCTCTAAGTATTTTATGGTGGTCAGAAACAGGATACTGGGCTAAATGAGGCTTTGATCTACAGAGTATTGCAATTCTTTTGCCATTTAAATGTGATTAAGCAGGCAAGGGATTATTAATATGAGCTGGAGACGAGCAAATTATCTCCAGAAATAACTTGGAACAGCGACTTCTGTTTCCTGCAAAACAGGACCTCTTGAATTCTCACTCCTAACAAAGCCAGTCTTCTGCTTTGCTTGGATGTACATGGTCAGAATGGGAGTGGAGGTTCTTCACACAGCCCATAGTTGAGTTATGGAGTAGTTTGCTGTAAGATGTTGCAGATACCGAAATGTGTAAGTGTTCCAGGAGAGGCTGGAATTTAATGAGGAGAAGTTGGCAGGGTATTGATAAATACATTGAATTTAAAAAAAAAAAAAAAGTCTGAATTTGTTCAGAGGATAAAACAAAAAAGCCATCTGTCTCAGGAAGTCCCTCAGTTAATGTTTTGAGGCTGGGAGGGTGCATACAGACTTCCTTCTTGCATAAATCACAACAAATAGCTTATTTTTGAGTTGATTTTGAATCTTCAACTTAAATGCTCTTCACTTGCCTCATATCTCTTGTCCTCCAGACAGTAGCGTTTTGTTCTGTCTCAACTGGAAAAATCTCTAGGGAAGATTGAAACAAAATATTCTGTAAGTTCATTAAAGAATGAAGGATGTTATTAGTGTGGTAAACCTACCACTTGAAAGACTCCTGAGAATAGGAAGGCACTGGCCCAGGTTGCCCAGGGAAGCTGTGGCTGCCCCATCCCTGGCAGTGTTGAAGGGCAGGTTGGATGGGGCTTGGAGCAACCTGGGCTGGTGGGAGGTGTCCCTGCCCATGGCAGGGAGATTGGAACCTGATGATCTTTAAGGTCCCTTCAAACCTTAACCATTCTCTGATTTTATGAGGATAAAACTGGTAAGATTCTTATTACAATGCATAGAAAAAAAAATGACTGTAAAGAGGAGAGCTATGGATGAGCAGCTTCTGTTTAACTTCATGCACAATGAAGCGTTCCACTGCAATTTGGTGTCACTGCTTGCTTTTCTTTTGTCCCTGAATCCTAGTGCTTGAGTCTGTGACCAAAAACATTGCACAGCTTAGGCCACAGTTTGGTGTATAAATACATATTATGTAATGCCACTGTGATGATGGGAATGATTTTGTAAACTCTGAGATATTAGCGACTATATTTATTGCTGAAGATGAAAGGCACTATTACAAAAAAGCCTGTCAAAAACTCATGGCAGGCTGGCAGCACGTTTATGGAGTACATGGCACAGGTTCATGATTGAACAAAGAAACATCAGAACATGTTCTCAGATTATATCTGAAGTACACAAGTTTGTAGTGCACTATTATGAACAAGTAGCTGTGACTTTTCATGTTGCAATAATTTTAGTTAGAATAAAGGTGGGTGGGTTTATAATTGTGTTTAAATGGCATAGGAACAGTTTTCAGCATGGAGGCTCCCAAGAGGCTCTGTGGTCTGATATGTTTATCTTAAGGATAACTTCTGGTATGACTTCTAGGGAAGCCTGGGAATTGCTTATTTTGCAATTATATGTTTTGAGGAGCTAATTCTTCCAGTGCCTTAAGGAAAGCGTAGGTCCTTAAAGCAGGAAAAGCTTTTCTTCTATGGCAATGAAAATGTTTTGTGTATGAATATGAATGCAGTTATATGTAGCAATTAGGTGCTGTGTTAGTGTTTGAATTAGCAACTCTGGAACATAGCCAGCTTGTGGCCAGGAAAGCAGCCAATAGCCTGGAGGAGAAATGTTTTAATTAATATGTAATAACTGCTCTGGAGAGCTCTCATTATCCTGGCAAGCTGCATTTATAACTTTTGCTTTTACTTATTTGGGACAATTGTAATTTTTATTTAAAAAATGTGGAAGGCAATTCATTGTGCCTCTTTCATACTGAGTGGAGAAGTGTAAGAATGCTTGAAAACGCACTTGAACAAAGCAAAAAAAAAAATAATCAATCTTGGTTCTATTGTATATATGAATCCATTTCTTAATAGGATCAACATATTGCAGCAAGAATTATTTGCCTTAAGGAAACTAACATTTTACATATGTGCTGTTCTACATGTATCTTAATTTGCTAGGTTTCTTCATCCTGCTGCAGGATGAATACAGTAAATTTTCTCAAACTATGCATACACAATGACTTAAACTTCAAGAACGCTCTTAATTAAAACAATAAAGCATGCGAGGCATGCCAACAAGATGTGTTTAAATTATACTTCTGTAGGACCTAAGAGCCTCATATTTAACTTCAGGTTTTAAGCTAAAGGGCTGCAGTTTGCATTAGCTGGATGAAGTGGTAGAGCACAGGGCACCCACTTGTGCAGCTGAGTCACAGTGTGTTCTGAAATGCTTCAGATAAGGCTCTTGTCCCTCCTAACTGTGTGTTGCACTGGGAACCAGTGGGAACCTTTCTTCTCTTTCAGGCCTTACCTCCCACTGTTGCAACATGAGAGATTCAAGTGATGAGAGGCATATTCTTTCATTAGTACCTGGAAGCGTCAAGAGAAAATGTCAGCATGTTGTTAATTGAATATAATTAGAGTGAAATGTTTTCACTTCAGGCTTTTTTTAATAGCAATTATTTTATTAGTTCTATAAACCATTAAAAAGTACTGTAAACTATTTGGTTACACTAAGGAGACTGCTTTGTGAATCACAGGCTGTGCTAACTGGAAATTAGGACTGCTGGCCTCTCTTTGTGGCTCTGAAGTAACATAGTCTCACTTCATGCAAGCTACTTGAACTCTGATTCAGTTGCCCAGTTCCAGTACCTGTTTGTCTCTATGAGTGATGTGCATGTACCTGTCCATGTGGGACTGGATTCCCATAACCAGTAATCCCTGTTGGTCTTGTCTAGTGCCACTGTTGCTTTTGTGTCTCTTAGGCAGGAAGGCTGGCAGGAGGTTCAACCATTGCTTGGTACCTTCACACCACTGGGAATCTGCCACTCAGTCTTGTAATGCCCACTTCAACTTTCAGGTGCCTATTCTATTGGCCTTGCACTTACACCAGGTAGCACAGGCACTTTGATCCCCAGGGCTGTCCTGCAAGTCATGCAGATGTGCTGACGAGTGGTGGTGGAGCTGCCATTTTTTTGGGAGGGTGACAAGAAGCTGTGGACATTCCACCTCCTTATGTTTGCAGTTTCCTTTGGATAGCACAACTTCAGGGTCTCTATATCGCTCACTCAGGGAAAGATAAGTAAAAGGATTAGGAGTCTTGTAGAAGTTGAAGAACTCAGAAGGTTTGCAATTGACTGGTCTCCAGCATATGTGAGAACATTTACTCCTGACTGCACAAACTGTAGCTGGTACAATGTTATCTGGCAATAGCAGGAGCCATCTGTGCTGTGACATGGGACAGACCTCCAAGTTGTCTCTTGCCACATCCAGGGTGCATTTGAACCTTTCTCAACTGCAGAGGAAGAGAAAGGACAGACCTTTCTTAATTTGGATCTTTGCCTTTCAGTCTGTGTCACAGTGCCTTGTTCTTCCTAGTCCTTCCTGCTCATGTTCAGGGCCATCTTCTCTTGGGTTAGTCATACCCAGGAAATGCAGCAAAGACCTAAAAAAGTACCTCACTCTTCTTTAAGCTTGAAATTCTATTATATTTATTGTGTGCTTTAAACCCTCAATAACATTCCCTTCCTCCCTTGCCCCAAACAGTTACTTTGTGGTTTATCAAGATCATTGTTTGCACTAAAATAAAGGGTTTATTTCTTGTACTCCCATTTCTGTTTTTGTCTACCCACCTATTCTCTTTTGTCTATACAATGTAAATGAAAAGTTATAGTTGCTCAAGGTCTTTTGATTTTTAAAGTAATATCATATTGTTAATTGAAGCTTTATGGTATAAAAGCTGGCTTTACTTACTGGTGTTCAGTATTATCTCTAACTATAAGTTAAAGGTGGTAATTTTTTTTCAGCCAACCTAGCTGTTTTAAAGTCTTAAAAGTCTAGAATAGGCCAAGGCCAATAGTATGAGGTTGAAGAAGGCCAAGTGTTGGGTACTGCACTTGGGTCACAACAACCTCAGGCAATACTCTGTAGGCTGGGGGCAGAGTGGCTGGAGAGCTGTCCAGAGGAAAAGGACCTGGGGGTGCTGGGTGACAGGAGCTGAAGATGAGCCAGCGTGTGCCCAGATGGGCAAGGACACCAATCCCATCCTGGCCTGGATCAGGAATGGTGTGTCCAGCAGGAGCCAGGGAGGTGATGGTGCCCTGTCCTGGCACTGGTGGGGCTTCACGTCCAGCACTGGTGGAAGTTCTGGGCACTGCAGGATAGGAAGGACATGGAGTGGCTGGAGAGGGTGCAGAGAAGCGCAACCAGGCTGATGAGGGGTCTGAAGAACAGGTCTGATGAGGAGAGGCTGAGGGAGCTGGGGGTGTTTAGTCTGGAGAAGAGGAGGCTGAGGGGAGACCTCATTGCCCTCTGCAGCTCCTGAAAGGAGGTTGTAGGGAGGTGGAGGTTAGGCTCTTCTCCAAGTCAGTGATAGAACAAGAGGAAACGGGGTCAAGTTGTGCCAGGGGAGGTTTAGACTGGATATTAGAAAGCATTTTCTTTACTGCAGGAGTGGTCAGGCACTGGAACAGGCTGCCTAGGGACATGGTGGAGTCACCATCCCTGGAGGTGTTAAAAAAACATGTAGATGTGGCGTTTTGGGACATGATTTAGTTGGCATGGTGGTGTTGGGTTGATGGTTGGACTCAGTCTTAGAGGATGTCCTGGTTTGAGCCAGGATGAAGCCAATTTTCCTTTTCCATATATACACACACACACACACACACATATATATTTATTTTTTTTTTCATCCCCCCCCCATAAGCTTTTTTTTTAACTAGCAGCAGAGTGTTCCTACTAAGACTGATAACTGTGGAGCACCTCAGCCTGGCTCACACCAGGACAGAGGTCTTTTCCAACTTTAATGATTCTATGAATCTAGAATTAAAGCAAGTGGAGTGTGCTAATTGATAGAAGAATGGATAAGAAGCCTCAAAGGTATCTTTAATGGCCTAGTTATCAGCTTGACTACTAGGTTAATCACTGGAGGAATACTTGTGTTAAAAAAAAAAAAAAGAGGAAAAGTAATAATTTCTGTAGCTGTTTGCAGTAGAGCTGATAGTCTAAATTAGTTGACTATATATTTGGCCAAGCTTTTAACTTTTACCATGTTAGGTAAAAATATTTTTCAATGTCTTTAAATATTTTTTAATAGTTGCTTAATTGTTTCCTTTTTATCTGTGATTTTATGTTGCTGAACTCAAACAAATATGCAGTGAAATCTGAAATAATTTGTCTTCTAAAATGCTAATTTTTTCTCTTCTGCAGCATGGGTGAACTCTCTCTCTATGGGAATGGTCTTCTTCTGCTCTCCCATAGTCAGCATATTCACAGACCTGTTTGGTTGTCGAAAAGTAGCTGTTATTGGAGCTGCAGTAGGATTTGTTGGACTCCTTTCAAGTTCTTTTGTAAGGTAAAAAATATTTTCTTTCCATTCAAAGTCTTTTATCAGTTTTATATGGTCCTATCAACAGAATATTCAGGAGTAAGCAGTACTACTTGATATGCTGTTAGAGTAGAAACCTTGTTTAATTTCATTTTTGACTTTGTCTTTCAAACTATGACTCATGGAAAAACCAAATGGTACTTTCAACTTCAAAAGTAGTTGAAAAAATACAATATAGCAGCATGAGAGCACTCCCTGCTTAACAGGAACCACTGTGTGTAAATGTATCAACAGCAAGACTAATGCTCTCAGATCAAGAGCGCTGTCCTGGAGAAGTTCTTGCATGCTTTGTCGATGTCTGCTGGTGCTGGCAGGACATAAACATTGCTTCTTACTCCCCTGCACCTCCAGGAAAGGTGTTCATGGTTTAGTCAAACTTGATGTTTTCTTCTCTTCTTACTGGTCCAATTGCCAGTCACCAAGATAGTGAAAATCTTGCTACAAGGACAGCTACTTGGGGATAATTGTCTTAATGGAGAAAATCTTGGTTCTTGTGTTACTGAAAAAGGTCTGAATAGTATTTGAGGCTTTTTTTTCCCTCTAGATTACACTTAATTTTGTATATTTCTGTAAATTTTGCAGAATGAGTCCTAAGAAATTTAAGAACAGATGACTCGTTGCAGAGGCACAGTAGAAGATGAGGAAAAAGGAAATTCACTTACTCTAGTCATCAATAGAAATTGGTTAGTGAAGATAAGGTAGGAAATAGCAGGAAAATAAGGCAGTTATTTCTAGTTCTCAGTTTGCTTTTCCCACCCTTAGCAAAATAAGTACAGGAACATAAAGCAAAATTGAGAAGTTTCCTACATAAACAAAAATACCAATCCAGACTGGCTTGTGAAGATGTTTTCTGTGCCTCTGCTCTGCGCCAGGTGGATGGAGCTGAGTGACTGGCCACACTGTGTGGCACTTACCTGAGCTATGTGGCTGGTTTGGGCATGTGTCCCCTCATGTGGACCTGCCAGGGATAAATACAGGAACAGAAGAAAAATACTTCTGTCTTGGGTATAGAGACTAATTTTTATATTTATTCTCAGAATAACATTTATAGGGAAAAGGAGAGCTTTCTTTTCTTGTTAGTTGAGCAAGTTTCTGAGTTTTATTTTTTTGTTAATCCAAGTGCAAATATTTTGCTTAATTAATTTTATTAAAGGAAACAACAAAAACTTACCACTTCCTGATATGTATTTTAGGAGGCTTGTTACCACATGAGAGGTAAAAGCTAAAGGAATGCATCTTGGAAAAGTCTTCCTCCTTGCTTCCCAAGGGTGTCTCATGGGATGAATACTAAAATAGTCTCATTATAAATTAAGCCTCTTGATAAAGGAAAGCTGTTTTCTTCCTTTGAACAAAATGATGTAATCTTTGTGTTTCCCTGGTATCCAGTGGAACAAGGGCACAGAAGAGACGTGCAAAAGGAAGTTACTTTGTAAAGGCTTTAAAAATATTTTAGTTGATTTGAATTTTGGTTTAGAATTTGAGGAGCACTTTGAGAGAAGAGGTAAATTCTTGTTGGAGTACATGCCATGTTAATGGGTGCTCTTGGTGTTTCATTTATGTTACTTACACTAAAATGATTTATTCCTCTGATGTTATCAGTTAATTGAGGGAGGATAGTTCAGATATAAAAGTCAATGCTATAAAAGCAAAGTATTGTACAGCAGATAAATGTAAATATGATTTACTGCTTTTGTTACATACTGATTTCTTAATATAAATTTTATCTCTTAGGAAGTGGAGATGTAAAATAATTTGTAAGGCAGGAAATATTTTACTGTGTGTCATGCTACAGACTCTGAATGAATCTGCAGAGGGAAGCAGAACTTCTCTGTTCCTTCTGTTAGGTTCCTTCTCCCATTTTGTAACTTCTGTTTATATATTTTTATATTTCCATTGATAAAGGTAATCAGTCTCTCCCCCTTATGTTCTTTCTCCTGGCTTACCTTGGGTATAATCAGTTTCAGAAAAACTGTTAGTTCAATGTGGAAAGCAACAATATGTTACACAGATTATTTTTCACAAGAACATACAAAACCAGAGCTCCTGGTGTCAGACCTTTGTGAGTCAAATACTTTCTCCTAAGAATGTCTGTAACTGCATGGGAAGACGCAGAGTGTGTTTTGGTGGGATGCTGGTGGGTAGGAGCACCACAGAAAGCATTCATACTCTTTGGGGGGAAAAAAGTTAGTATGTCTGCTAACAGGTTTAATAGTTTTCTACAACTGCTGTAAAAGCAGGTGTTAACTGTGGTTCTTTGAAAACATAGTATTAAATAAATAAATCAGCATGTGCCACCTCAGATCTTCTAAAACCATTTCTCACAGGTTGCCTCCTTCACCAGAGTGCAGAAAATCATAGAATCACAGGAAGGTTTGGGTTGGAAGGGACCTGCCAGGGATGGGGCAGCCACAGCTTCCCTGGGCAACCTGGGCCAGGCTCTCACCACCCTCACTCCAGAATTTTCTCCTCATGTCTGGAAGGTGCTCTAAGGTCTCCCTGGAGCCTTCTCTTCTCCAGGCTGAACACCCCAACTCTCCCAGCCTGGCTCCAGAGCAGAGCTGCTCCAGCCCAGGGATCATCTTTGTGGCCTTCTCTGGACCCTTTTCAATAGCTCCATGTCTCTCCTGTGCTGAGGGCTCCAGAGCTGGACACAGTTCTCCAGGTGCGGGTCTCACCAGAGCAGAGGGACAGAATCCACTTCTGTCTGGCCACACTTGTTTTGATGCATCTTCTTTTATTGATGCAGCATCTTTTTTTTGATGTAGCTTCTCTTCCGTTAATTGAAAAACTGTCTTGCACACAGTGGGTGAACGTGAGCATTGTGTTGTCCATAACACTAATGACATTTTTTTTATGTCTTCTCGCGGTACAGCACCATTGAACCCCTGTATTTCACCTACGGAGTGTTGTTTGCCTGCGGCTGCTCCTTTGCCTACCAGCCCTCCTTGGTCATTCTGGGGCACTATTTCAAGAAGCGCCTTGGCCTGGTGAACGGCATCGTCACCGCCGGCAGCAGCTTGTTCACTGTGTCTCTGCCCTTCCTCCTGAGGCTCCTCCTCGACTCCCTTGGCCTCTACAACACCCTGCGGGTCCTCTGCATCCTCATGTTTGTCCTTTTCCTGGCTGGCTTTACCTACAAACCCCTTGTTTCCAATGCCAAAGACAAGGAGGGAGGAAAGAAGGCGAAGTTCAGATTTCCTCCGGAAAAAAAGATTTGCAATTTCTCAGTTTTCAGAGTTCCCAGTTACCGAATCTGGGCTTTTGGGATCCCAGCTGCACTTTTTGGATACTTTGTGCCTTATGTTCACTTGGTAAGTGCATGTTTCTTACTATATATAATGTATTTAAAACTATAGCTATTTTCTGTTGTGTAGGGAGCCTACAGGAAAGCTGGGGAGGGGCTTGGGACAAGGACAGGGAGGGAGAGGACAAGGGGGGATGGATGAAAACTGGAGGAGGGGAGATTGAGGTGAGACATGAGGAGGGAATTGTGGAGTGTGAGGGTGGTGAGAGCCTGGCCCAGGTTGCCCAGGGAAGCTGTGGCTGCCCCATCCCTGGCAGTGTTGAAGGGCAGGTTGGATGGGGCTTGGAGCAGCCTGGGCTGGTGGGAGGTGTCCCTGCCCATGCAGGGGGTGGGACTGGATGGTCTTGAAGATCTTGAAGTTTGGTTTCATTGCTGTCCACAGTAACTGGCAGAACTTTAGTTTCTGCTGGTGGGAAGCTGTCCATCAGCTGGCACTCGTTGCCCTATGTAAATGGTGAATTATTTTTCAGTGGCTTCCTGCTAGTGCTGTCTAAACTGAAGTGAAGCAAATCAAAAGGCTTGAAAGAGAAAAGGAAAAGGGAAACCCCAACCCCCACAACCTGTAGTGGGATGCTCTATTTATACCATTACACATCCCCAAATTCCAACATATTTGATAGATACCATCATGGACTAGTACAACTAGTACCCACTGTGAAAAAAAGAAGGATTGTATTTATTATTCAGCCATGATAGAACAGTGAGATTCATGATGATAAATGTCTTGAATTCTGCCAAAAAATCTTCAGCTCCTTAAAAGCCCATGGGTTTGTGTGCAATAGAGCAAGTGCTGTGGCTGCTTTCTGGTAAGACATTGGTTACATCACTGACTCTGCATCATGTATTTATTTTAAGAATTATCTTAGGGTGTGGGCTGGTTTGTTTCTGAGCAGCTGTAAACTGACTCTTCTTCGTGGCTAGTTCTTGTTGCTTGATTTTTTAGTCACACAGATCCCATTCTGTCACACTTGAGCTATTTCAAAGCACTGTCCAATTGGGTGGTGAGGCTGTTGTGACATCTCTTCAAAACTCACAGGGAAACAGCAAGTGATGTTTTGAAATGAAACTGTTCAGAGGAGAAGGGAAGTGTTGTAAAGAAAGCTGTTGGGTGGACTGGAAATGATCATTAACACTTGCAGAGAACTGAAGAACAAGGCTATAAAAGCAGTCACAACCTCTAAAATACATTTGTTTAACAAAAAGCTTGTGTTTTGGTTTTTGTTTGGTGTTTTTTTTTACTAAGATGCTTGTATGAATGCTGCTTGTTTCTAGATTGGACTAAAGCAGCTAGTCAACCTGCCAGAGGATAATACTTTATTTTTAAATATAACTTTTCTTCTTACAGTGAACTTTCACTCCTGATGAGTGCTTTTCCCCCTCATATCAGATTGGCACAAATTTTGATTGTGAAATACAGCTCCAGTGCTTGAAAACAACTTGATCAAGGCTGTTTCTAATATAGTGTTTGATAGCACAATAAAACTATTCCAAAGTACAGTTAGAATATAATATCTTAAATATTACCTCAGAAATATAGCAAGAGATTTAAATTTCAGCTTTTGTTTTCCTCAGAGATTCAGAGGAACCATTAAGTTTAACTATTTATAACACAGAACTTTCACAGGTGTAGTCAGTTTGCTTTGTGTGTCACTTTTGAGAGGGGCAGCTTCACCAGTCCTTAGGAACTCCTTACTGTTAAGTCTTATTATCAAAACCCCTTCTTGAAGCCCAAAAGTTATTGTTCTAATTTACTAATCTCTAAATACTCCTGTAAACTAGAGGGGAAGATCTTTAAAAAGATCTTTTAAAAAGCTTCAACTACTTTTAATAAAACCATTCTAAAGAAGAAACTTCACTTTCATTCTTGGCTTTGCAGGTAGCTTTGTTAAATGTTGGATTTTTTCTTCAATCTTTTAAAACATCTGTTATTTATGATTCAGATTTTTATCTAAAATTTAATTTAGGTACATTTCAATATGTGCAAAGAATACATGGAGGACTGGAGTACTACTGAACTTGGGTTATGTACTTAGGACTCTTGACCATTCTATGAAATATTTAAAGCCCAAACTAAATTATGATCTGTGAGTATTATTGGGATAGTAAGAAACAGTGTGAACTGGGTGTGAACTGGAATAAAATTTAATGTGTTTTAGACTGATAAGAGACTGTGTAGGAACCATGAAATTCAGCTTTCTATTTGCTTATTTATATGATCCCTTAAGTACTATGTAAATGCTCACTTCTCTTCCAGAAAGCTTGATAAACAAATAGTTTAATAAAATAATCACTAGCTTTGCTGATGTTGAAATGGAAAACTAGGACTTCAATTTCATACAGGGCAGTATTTCCACTTCCAGAATGCATAAGATGTTTCATCTGGGTGAAAAGAGTTTAATACAGAATCACTTAAGGTTGGAAAAGACCTTCAACATCAAGATAAATATACGACCTGCAGATCATATTTAAGACTGTGTTACAGTTATTTTGTATGTGGTTACCAAGGATGGATGTAACCTCAGTAGCAGAAACCTTTGTGGCAGAAGCAGGAATTCAAGTTGCTGGGTTGGGGGATGCAGATGTAGGACTAACAGACTTGCTGCCTGGGGCCTAAGAATGAGGTGTTCTTGCAGCTAAACCCATCACTTCTGTAATTATTTCTACATGAACCCTAACTCCTTGAATTTAAGTCTGCTTTTAGAGCTAAGGAAACACTCATCCCTCTGACTCAAATTTAACAATTCCAAATAGGAGGGAAAATATTTTAATTGAAAGAGGTATTTATTTGTATGACAACACATGTGAAGAACCATGGCGTTAATTGCTGGTGGGCACTGATGTCTGCTGGGGGACTGTTTAAAGCCTCCAAGTCTCTGTGGTTCTTCTGTATCTGAGAAAGTGAAAAGGTGTTTATGAAGGAGCAGCATGGATTCTGCCCTTCAGCACAGATACTTCAACTCCAGTAGATAGCTCTGGACTGTTTTTATCCTAGTTGTGTCTGCTTTTGATAAAGGCCACATTTTAATGTCTTTCTAGAAGTACATACAAGGACTTGCAGATAAATCAAAGGCTGTAAGAAAATAAACATTGCTGGTACATCTACCAAAGCAGAGATTATTCTCCTCAACTTTTGCAAAGGAAAGTTACTGTTGTTCCATTCTATATTGTATGATTTAAATTGTGGCAGTACTGGAAAAGGAGTCTCACACTTGGACAAGTGGCAGCTTTGGTTATGCTAAAGATCTGGGGATTCCCCACTGGTGGGGATGGCTGGCAGGAGCCAGACTGCTGGAATGGGATGCTGGCTGCAAGTGCCCTGAGAAAACACACCTGTACATAGAGCTCTAACTAAAATTAATCAACAAACCAATTTATATGGCATGCCAGATAGGATTCCTACTTAGGAGCTGGCAAGAGTTACCAGTCCCTAACTGGCAGATATCAGCTGCATGGGAAACAGGCATCATATTCCTCTGGGCTCTTGCAGGAGAGTATCAACAAGAGAGCTTTTCTTATCCCAGTTTAATTGGTGTTAAATTCCATTTGTAGGTGTTCCCTTCCATATGATTTTGGGGAATTGGATTGGGAGTAATACTAAAAATAGGTTTTTTACTCTTTATTTTACTATTAATTCAGATTGTTGAATAGCAAACTGATAGTTCTTAGGGTTACTAAATCAAATGCTGTTATTCCTCTCAGCTTTAAATCCAGTCTAAGCTGCAGTGATTGAGAGTTCTTTTTCTCTTGATGCCTCTCTAAAATAGACAAATACCCAAATAAACTAGTTCAGTCAATTCAGATTTGAATTGTGAGGCCACAACAGAAATCTGTCAGATTAATGTAAAATACTCTTTCCAAGTTGTTTTAAATCAGTACTGTCTCACAAAGAAATAGTAAGTATGTTTGAATATTAAATATATATGAAAAAAGTGTCCCTAGTCTCTCTGCTGCTGCTTGTCTTCTGCTTGTTGTTGATAATAAAAACAGAACTTCTGTTTTTCAGGAATCACAGTCTCATGTTAAACATTTAGTGCTGTTCTCTCCTACCATTTAAAAAATTACCTCTTCTAGATCTTATTAAAATAAAGAAATATGTGTTCTTAAAGAATGGTCAGATCTATTTGAAAATTAGGCTTATTGTTTAAATATGGTTACAAGCTTGTAGACAGAGTTACCCATTAATTGACTGGTAATGTGAAATTACCATAACACTGACTGTGCTCTTAAAATACAGAATAGCTCAGGAAAAATATATTTCTATATTTCTCAACCTGCTTTGCTGTCTATTTTTTAATTTACTGTGTAAATCTGACTTCTCCTTTTGATGCTTATCCATGTTCATATTCCATTATTACTTGCATATGTAGAGATTTTTGGTTAGCAGTAGCTCTGTGGAGTATATGTGTTGTGTGTCCGTGCATCATGTTTAGGACAGGAAAAAATGATGTGTGCCTGGCCATTTTTTTCTAGCAACTTCCATGAGGAAAATCTGTCTTGGGAGACAGGTTTAAGTACTGGATTTATTCTCCTCCACAGACAGGTACTGAAGATTCAGTATCTCATTATTCTCTGAATCTGCACATACCAGCTCAGCTGGACTTCCAAGGAACAGGGGAGTGAAACTGCAAACTTAAAGTTTGGAAAAAAATAGATACTTCTTCAGATTCCAGAAGCCAACACTGTGAAACAAAACATCATCTTGGACTCAGTGCTCTAAGACTTTCATCATCTGTATTGTAAAGTAAAGAGGCTTCCAAGCAGCTGGGCAGCTAGAAGATGTTTCAAAACATACAGCAGCCTCAGGACCATTGTTAGGTACCAACTCCTGGGCTCTGCTGGCTTCTTAGAAAATAGGAGATCCTCAGGCTCTGCTGGCAAGCTGCCTTTGCAGCTTCTGGGGGAAGCTTTGTTCCAGTGAAGCCAAGGTTAGCCTCTGCTGGCAGCCAGCCTTATTCAGCAGACACTGTGTAGCTGTTTCCTGTGGTGTTTATGTCCTCTGAGGTGCTG